GGGTGGGGAGTTGTGTTGCTGCGTTAGTAGTAGCAGCGGAGATGGAAATTCACAGTTTTCGAATCTTTCTTCCCCCACCCCGTTCCCCCCTACCTCCTAACAGGTGACTAACGCTGTCTGACTGGTCAGCTTCCTACTTCCAACTTCACCACGTAATAACTCGGTTGATACCTCCAACAATTCTTCTAAGCTACCTGTCCCAAACGATTTTATTAATCCATCGAAATCACAGTCGGCCTGTCTTCTGTTTCGCGTTTTATTTCAATGGAGGTATAACTTTTGCCTCACTGTTATTTAGACACTTTATGGAAACGTGCTATTTCTGAATTGATGGTATATAATTTTAATAAACAAGAAGAAGAAAAAAGATGTATTTCTTGTCATCTGGGGCTACTTATTTGACGTAAAACGTTTTTTGGAAAATACTTTTCCACTTTAATGCAGTGTCAACTCGTTAGTCCTAAAGTGAAAGTTAAGTGGAAAGTTAAGATGCCTCAATTGTTTAAAATCGGGTTTGCTTCAGTTGAATTTAGGTTAGCAAAAAAAGATAAATGACAAGCAAAAAATAACGGGATAATAGAGCATTAGTAATTCATTATTTACTTTATATTTAATTATGTTTCAATTAAAACTAACTCATAGTTAACTTAATTTCACGCCAATTCAACTGGGCTTTATTTTCATATTGATTTTCCACGCTGAAAGCAAACTACATTTTATTGATTTGATGAATCGATATTGAAGTGCCAAAATTATCTTACTGATAATTGTTGGATGGGTCTGCCGAAGCAATTTATATTATAAATCAAATTATTTTGAAGGTGTTTAAAAATGCGAAATTGCACATATGTGGCAAAACAAGACGGATTAAGCCCGATGTTTCGATTGACTTTAAATAAGTTTTCATCAGATGGTGTGAAGGATGTAGTAGAGGATAGACTGTAATCATTGAAAACAGACATAGTTTTGAAGCATAATGCGGATTTTGGAACCCAATATAAAGGGATCACTCAATTGACGTAGATGAAGATTCCATCACTGTGCTCTGGAACAGTTCATTTTCCCTTCCCCCGTATCTAAGCGTATACATCATTGTGTATCCATATGTGAATACTGGCATTTAAGGCTGACACCCCACCATAGAACGAAGGAGGGAGGGGGGGGGGGAGAGAGAGTTAGCCCAAATTATGGAATGTTTCCCCTACTGCAAGGTAGAGCGCGAACAAATGAAGAAAAACGAAGCGGCGTACACACACACACACAAATAATTCAGGCAAACTCTTTCTCTCTTCGGGCGCCTTAGGTGATTCAGTTAGTGGTAGCGACAACCCAAAATATTTGACCAAATCCCATTTTAGTCACAAACATACAAATTCTACTTTTTTGTAAATATATTCAAATTCGGATATTCAGTTTCCAAATTTAGAAATTTATTCAGAATTCTTCGTGAAGGAAAATAATCAATTTTCAATTTTGTGCTTAAATATATGATAAAATTGATTCACACTCAGAAGATCAGCCGATTTTAATATTTCTTACACACTATGAAATTCTGAAACCAGGTTTCTAACACAGAGATGGCGCTGGAATATTCAGAAGACATGATCTCGCCATTAATAACAATGTCCTTTGAAGTTCCTGAAACACTTGTTGTCCGTTTAGGTATACTTAGATTTAAAATAAAGCCTCACAATTTCAATTTCGTTAAGAAAACTAACCAACAAACAAAAAATTTAATTTTTATTTGGTATTTTAATTCGAAAGATGCATATTTACTCCACAAAAATTTGAAGAAAAAAGGCAGTTTGTTTGTGTCAATTTGATTTCATTTGCACTTGACATTTAAGTTGATAAGCCACTACAAAGGAGATCAGAAGCAAAGCTAGATTACTTAATCGACTAAAGGAAGTCTATTAATCACTCTGGAAAGCGAGTTAGATAAAACAGTCTAACTCTTGGCGGCTAGACTACACACAAGTAGGCGTGAATAAATTGTGCCTCTAGTGTTGAAATTCACCGAATTCCTCCAATCTGATGAACGACGTTATCTTCATGAGAGACCATTGAACAATTCACCTCATTGAACAAGATGTTAACTAGCAGAAAGGTTCAAAATTGCCCTCTAAGTATAGAAATGTTAATCTCCTCTTAGCTGTTGACGACCTAAAAATTTTTAAGGATGAAGATGATAGCCGACTGGAAAAAAAACATATCTCTAAGATATGTTAATCAAAACATCCGTCTTTTCAAATGTTTATCAGGTGCTATGTAATTTGTAGGTTATAAGGGATAACCGTCATTATTATAAATAAATTTTAAAGTTAGATTTAAACAGGTTTTTTCCTACATTAATTGAGAAAATTTGACTCTGTAAAGGGTTTTTTTACCAACTTGAGTTTAAAATTTTTATTTGTTCATTTTTTCATAAAAATATTTTCAGAGGTGAATGCCTATTCTAAATAATAATTAAACTTGTATAATTAATTTCTTTCCCATTTACACCAAAAATAAACTCTCAAACCACTTGTCAAATTTTTTTCAAACACTTCATTTATAAAAAGGCTAAGTGTATATTTTTTATGAAAAATAAATGTATTTCTCACTATGAAAAAAATTCAGATAAATACTTTTGTGTATGGAATTTCGACAGTGGGTGGTGTAGGGGTTTTAAATCACAATAAGTTAGTTAGTTGACGGCAAAAGGTAGTCACTAAATGATTTTTATTTCCACATTTTATGGAGTAGCCCAGATAAGTTCATATCACCCTCATGCCTTTTTTATTTAATTAATCTCTAATTGCAATCTAATTTAATCGTCGTGGCGTGTTAGTATTTGCTCGAAGCTGTTTACAATTATGATTCTGTGCCGAAGAGAAATATTGAAAACTTTCAGATCATCAATCCTTGCGATAGCAACCACTATATTTTACCTCTTTCATACTCCTTCGATGATGAAGAAATTGCCCAACACTTCTCTTGAAAATTGTGGAGGATTAAATCATGATTCCATTCAATTATGTTAGTATTGGATCTACCACATTGTCTCCCCCCCCCCCACCAAACTCCCCCAACACACCCCCACTTATCGATTGACTGTTTTCTCTCAGACATATATGTGACTTCTGACTTTCATTTTTACTTGCATACCATTTATCAGGACCGATGTGTAATTATTCTTAAAAGCCAATCCTGATTCCATTAACTTTTAAAACATATTCTTCACGAATTTCTAATGTTCCCCCAGCATATAGCAGAAATCGTTCATGTGAGAGTTACTAGTTGCCCAATATTTGTTTAAACTGCGCGTTGAGTGTCAGTGGCGCTATGGGGGTAGATTTCGGCGTCCGCCGCTTGTGCGCGAAGATGTTTTATTGGCTACAAAGCTATTTATAGGACGCGGGAGGAGATCTCCGAGAACCTGTAGCGGTATTTCATCTGCCTTGAGTGAATTTATTGGCCAAATGGGCCATTCAGATTGCCTGCTAAAATACCGTCTTTAGGTGTGATCACACACAGGTAAATTGAATGCAGGGAATAACCACAATTCTAATGCATCAAGTAAGCTTAGCTGTTAAGATCTCTTTGCTTTATTTATTTCCTCAAATACATGAGAATCCCATGCACTTCTGATTAAATGCGGTAGAAATGCAGTCAATTTGATGGAACATGTTTTTCTTTAGTAATTGGCCTATACAACAATTAATATTGTTCCTCGAGTATCGATGCATCTTTGGAAATAAGTTTCTACATTGAAAATCTTCAATGGAGAGTGAAATAATGCAACCTTTTTATGCTTTAAGAACTTCGACGCTACAAAATGAGGAGGCGGAATTTTTAAGTTTTTTTCGAGCAGGGAGAGGTTATAGGGAAAGGCCAAGGTTCGAACCCAGCAAAATGGGGGGAAAATACAGATAAAACGGGCACTCTAGGAAAATCGATAAATGAGTAATAAATGAAACGGAACCGAGTGATAGGTTGACGGAATTTTCCCGCCAATTTTTGGGAAACTATAAGGTCATTATAGACCCCGATTTAAATTAAAATAATAAATACGAATAAATCTTTCAATATGATTCATAGATTTGTTTGACAAGTATTTTGTCAAATGCATCTCTCGAAAAAGGCACCCGTAGAGAAGGACGTATAAATAAATTAACTACCCCTGTTAGACGGAATATTTTTTTCTCTCCTCCAAGGTTTTATAAAACGTAGAATTGAATCATCTTTAGTAAGGAAGTAATTGCCGAAATGAAACTTTTTGCTGGTAAAAAAAGGCATACACTTTGTTTAGTTACTACAGGATTTACAACCTATTATGCTATTTCTTTTTTCATTGGAAGAAAGTTATTTATTTGCTGTAAAGACAGGTTGTTTCGTGAATAAATGAAATAATAGGCTCAAAATTAACTTATAACAAACAGAAAAGAAACTCAATCACTGTTTTAGTTACTTATTGGCTTATTTTAGAAAAAGTCCCTCCAACATTTCTTCTCCATCATATGCTGCTTGATTACCAAAGTGGGTCATTGTATCGGTTTGGGCCCCCCCACGTGATGGAGGTTTTTTAGATCAAAATTAATCCTTATCCATTTTCCACCTCAAAATTTTCCTATTAAAGATGTTTGAACCCTTTTCTATTAGCAGATAGTTAAAGACGAGCGAAATACAATTCAACTGTAATAGTACGAACATGATTTGAATAGTCATTTGTTTTCTAGTTGACCCAATGATAAAAGCTTAATTCAATGGTTAATTCCAAACTATACTTCAATTATGAAAAGGGCAGTGAATATATTAATAAGACTGCAAACATCTATCTGCATCGCCCTAGCAACTCCGGCAATGAAAAGTACGAAGAGGCTCCGAGAGAGGAACGGAGAGGTGAAGGAGTAAAGAAGGTGAGAAAAGCGTGACTGGAATGAAAAGAAGGAACCAAAAGCCACTTTTTTCTGCATAAGGTGTCACACCGCAATGGGACTTTACAAGCAGGTGCAAGTCAACTTACGCGTGCACGCAAGTGCGGTAAGCTGCCCATTGTGCTGTCTTATGCGCGTAAACAAGCGTATCGCGTGCGTGCGTGCGTCGTAGTCTCGAATTGCATGTTCTGCATACGCAGGGATCCCTACACAGGCACTCCACCCCGTATCTACGCCTAACTTTTCCCTCTAATCCCCTGGCCAGTTTGCTAAGGTATGATTAAGAGAGAAATAGCTATGCCTAGTCTGCACAAGGTGCTTCTGGAACTACTGCCACGGCCACACTACCAGCTAATTATATTTTTTGCACCTGCCAACTACGCATACACACACACGCACACACACAATGCAGTGTAGTTGTAGCTTACGGCTTTACTTGGGCCTGCCTAATTCACACATCGCACCGTTTTACGCGCGAGTACACGTGCAGATATACCAGTGAATTTGACATCGATTTGCGGTGTCACTGGGACTACCCATCCATTCTAATTGAGATGTACTTTAAACATTCTATACTGTGCCACAACACTTCCTTAAATAATGCTCATATAAATTCTTGAATTCAGCCTAAATTTCGTCGAGAATGAGTCTGCTAGGCTGGCAGTAAATGATGAAACCTGAAAACAAGTATCCACTTTTAAGATTTAATTAGAGATCACCAAGATCGTGGGGAAAAGCGAAACAGATTTCTTTCTTTGAAGATGCCTTTTGGGGAAGAGTTGTCCATTTTACCGTTAATAAGGCAAATTTGTGCATCTTTTCTGAGTAATTGGACATTTTAATTCACAATAGACAGTTATAGAGGAGGTACAATAATACCTCGTGATCCTAAAAATCGATTTTATCTCCAGGCCGCTCTTACTTTATCAGCAATTAACTTTTACTTAATTTCAGTTGTAACATGAATAAAATCAAAATTGTTTGCGGTTTACTTTAATAGATGACGCATAACGGAAATCACTTGAGCGAATAATTGAAATTAACGTGAATATTTAGGGCCTATATTCGGAATATATGCAGTTTATATTTTAAAATTTTTATGCCAATCGATGTTCCTCGAAATCAATGGAAATATTGAACTTTTACTGCTATAGTTAGTTCAAAAACTTCAGTTTATTCTAATTCATTAAAGTAGTAAATGTTGTAAAGTATATACAAAGAGAAAAGTTTGTCATAGAAGTGGAATTAGAAGTATCGTTCCTAGGGTGGCATTATGACGTATTACTTGGTGCTTTCATTTGCATGGTGAGTGCCCAAGGCCATTTCAATTGTCCATGTATTTAATTGGAATTGACAGCTGGTCACCCATTATATATATACATAACCAATAAAGTATTAGCCACAAGCATTATGTCTGCAATTCTGTTATATTAATATTCAAAGTAGTGCTACGGCTTAAAAACACAAACGTGAGCATAACATGTTATGAGGTACTACAGTTTTTTTAAAATAAATCTAGAAATGTTTTGAATTTGTCTTATGTGTAGATAGACATCAATAAACCCATGGAATAGTCAACATTTACCCCACATTCCAATGGCTACTTCAGATCGTATAACTAGTTCAATGACAAGGAAATGCATATTTCTTCCCCACCAGTAAAACTGAGTGAGGTAAATTATGAAACCTCATTTACCTATTAGAAAGACATTTCCATCACTAGTGAAGTAATATCCAGCTGTGTTCTGTCCACAGAAATCGCTAATACAGCATTGAGGGAGTTTGATGTCTTATTCAATTTGCCTAGCGTCTCGATGATTGGCAGTAAAACAGGAATGCAGGGAGTATAAAAAGAACGCCAAGTTTACAATTCTGCTAAATCGTAAAATGCAAGAGATACCTATAAGTTGAAGCGTCTCTTCTACTTAATTTGTGCAAATGGTATTCCAGCTCTTGTTCAATACGAGCATGGAGCATGGGGGTGCCTCCCCGATGGCAGACTCGATCTTGTTAGTCGGAGTTGGTTTATCATTTCGCTTACTATGTGTGTATAGCCTGAATTCGTACTATGGAGGTAATTTTGTCTTAAGGAAAGTAACCAAGACGTCAATGTCATAAGAAGAATGCCGCCCCCCCCCCCCCCATCAATTTTTTATCATTGCTCTGACCTGTTGACATTGTTCAGATGATGAAACGCAGTCTGAGCTTTGGCTCAACAGACTTCAGAAAGGGTAATATATCAATTCTACTCTCCAAATACAATTTTAAAATTTGAAAATGCTGTTTTGTTGAACTAAAATTGCACAGAATATCGCGCATAATGCCATCCAATGTTTAAAACAAAAACAAAAACTTGTCTCCAGAAAGGACCCACAGCCTAGTACAACTTTATTAAATAAATAAATACAATAATGAAATTTAACCACAATTTGGCAAAATAACTTAACATTCAAAATTTGAGAAATACAATAGATATAATATTTTCCAACAACTGGAACTAGTATTCGGGAAAAATTATTGAGTTCTTTTTTCATAAGTAGCAAATGCCTTCCAGCTACAATTTGATATATTGAAACTACTTTTTTTCTGAAAATCGTCTTTTATAGATGTTACGGCTTTCACTAATTAGGCAAACCCAAAAAATATTAATTATTTCTGCCGTGGAAATAGCATTTTTAACGGATGTTATGCTAAACGGCATTTAGATGGCATTTTAAAAGGGTTATTAAATTAAACAAGTTAGAGATGAAAGAAGATCAGCTGAGGAAATCCCAAATTCCCTCTGCTTTGTACTCATGTAGCTAAGGCAACGGCTTCATCGACTACAGCATGGAAGAAAGCTAAGGCAAAGGTCAGACATTGACATTTCTTCTTTTTTCTCTTTTTCTATGACCACCGTGTTTTAGAATAATGATATGCCAAGTTATGCAACACTAGGCTAAAAGAGTGTCCATTCCTCGAGTGACGATAGAAAACATGTGTAATAAAAGAGATGGACGTTATGAGGGAAAAAGAAAAGAAAATGATACTCACTTAATGGGCAGTGGATTAACTTTTATAAATCCGATTGTAATGGAACTTGATTGTAGAGAGTTCGAGGTTTTGTGAGCTGATTCAGTAGAATACGATCATCCACGAGATGCGTTGAGCTATAATGGGAATGCTCGGGGTCAGAACTGGGCAATGTGGGATTTGTAAGTTGGGCACCAGCCAGTACTAGAAAGACATGCATACCCATTAGGGAGCACGCACAAACTGCGTGCGAGTGAGGCGGCTTCTGATTGGTTGATTGTGCGTAAGACAGGTGCAGCGTGCGAATGGCACCTGCACTACGGCACAGCACAGTTTGTGCGCGTCGTCGCATATAACCACGTACCCATGCAACGTCATTCGTCTCTTGGGCTATGTATCAGATTTCGGTAAAACTTTATTACAAAGGATTACTTTCTTAACCGCTTCCACATCAGATATGAAGTACCAAATCCCGCTTTGAAAATTTCCATTAAGATTCGGTCAATTAATTAGAGGAATACGAAGAACAGGTTTTCCATTTCATAATTAGAGGCCACGTGTGCGAACGGAAGCTAGAGAAAAACACTGACAGTATACTGAGATCACGGCTTTTATTTAGAGAGGAAACATCAAAATTTGTTATAGGGGGGGGGGGGCAAATTTATGCTCTTTCAATAAAATGCTTTAGCGCGTTTCAAAAAGGAAATACACAAGCCCTTAAAGGGACAAGATAGCTTATTAAGAGGTGGAAGAGAGATTTCGATTTTGAAGGAAATGCATATAATGAATGGGAAATTTAATGTTACCTATATAAGTAGATTTGTTTAACTGAGTCATGCTCTAAAGTTCGAATTGTTCCCATAATACCAGGTGGATTCGTGTTCATGTGGTGTGTATTTGAAGAGTTAATTCGATTGAGGATTCGATAACTAATTATTATATTCTCGTCTAGTAAATGACACTTTTGAAGAATAAAATTTTTTATTTTATTACTTAATCACTAAAGGGCCCTTAATATTGTGTCAATGGCGTTCATCAATATCTTAAATCTCCTTCATTACCCAGTTTGTTTTTACAATGTCAAATATTAATGACACTCATCAACAGGCTAGAAGCGCTTAATAGTTATTACAAAAGCCAGTTGAATAGTAATGCAAAGAGGCCAATTGAGTCTATTAATAATATTTCAATATATATTTAAAAATCCCCAATCCAAGTAATTTGTGAGGATAACCTGTGAAAGTAAAAGTAATCATATGATTGGGTGCGCAATGGTTAAAGGGCATGTCGAGAAGATCAAACATCGTAAGATTAAAACCCACTGGTTCAAACAAAGTGAGTGGAATAGTTAATAGCGCTAATTATATTTGATAAAAAGGGGTGTGTGATAGACTTACCTCCACGTGGTGCACCCTGGGAAACGTATCAATAGACTTACCTCCACGTGGTGCACCCTGGGCAACGTATATTCATACGGCAAAGTCTATTAACTGGTAGTTGACTTCTCCCCCACGGCGAAAAAGTCTATTACCTGGCACTGTATGTCATATTCGACTACTTTCACAGTACTCATCCCACCTTATTTCCACCTTATCTACCTTCGTCTTTGATACACTCTTCTGCCCCCCTCCTTCTTGAATTTTTTTACACTTTGATGTTCCTTCCCCTCTGTGAAAACTGAAATCAACTAAAGAGCTAATGATAACAATCAAAACGCCTGCCATTTGATAAAATAATAATAATATTTGATAAAAATGGCTGTTTGAACAGGGAGTAAGACAAGCAAGAAACAACGCCATTTTGCTTGGCAAAAGAACGGGAGTTGAAGTGGATTGGTGATTTGTTGGGGACATTCGCAAGGGAGAAATAAGGAAGTAGAGCTCGATTTTACCCGCCACGTTGAGAGATTAAAAATTTATTTCATGATTAAGGACAACAGAAAGTACTCTTTTGGCGATGACAATTAGGTGCAACCCAGTTGGTGCGAAGTGCATTAGGCGACAGAGAGGACGTATGAGTCGACGGACACAGGCACTTCAATTCAACCCAATAGCAGAAGATGAGCATTGGAAAATGCACTCCTAACTAGGCTTGGGGCATTATAAATATTAATCTCAAATAATCTGGAAAACATGGGAACGCGAAGTTTTTGTGGTTAAATTGAACAAAGAGAAAGCAATATGAGATAAGGGGATTTCAGACCTAAAGCCAAAGATAAGTTGAATTCAACTATAATTGGAGGGTTTCTAGGCATAAGCTTTCCCAGGCTCTAGGTTATGAATGATCATTTAATGTTTGTATTTTAAGCACGAATAGGACACAAAATAATTTATAGCTGTAGGTACAATATGAGAAGTGATATCCCCGGCGTTGGAGCCACAATTTCCGTCTCCTTTGCCCAAAGCAGGTTAGCTAAGAAGTTCATTTCTGCTAAATAGGCTCTTTTAAGGCAAATGGAAGTAGGTTTACAAAGATCTGAACACGCCTGCAGATTCATGCTATCATAAGTTGCCTGATGTTAATAAAAAGTCAGTCTTTTTTATGTTCCCACGTAACTCACAAATTAGTTATAAAAAACTAGAGTAGTCGTATTTTGTGGAATTGCAGATGTTGGTAAGAATAATAGATAGAACGAATTCAAACAAACAATCTACGGTGTGGTAAGGTGGAATAAATAGGCATATCAAATGAATTTGTTATTATAGCCAGCTATAGACGGCTCAAGGGTTCAGAAACCAAGACCACTACTTCCCGTCTCCTAATCTTTGATTGTATTTAATTACTTGAAGAATAACAGGCATTCCAGCGCTCACAATATTTGTTTTATTTATTTATTTATTTCAAATGGCAGGCATTTTGATAGTTTCATTAGCCCTTTAGGTGACTTCAGGCCTCACAAAGGAGAAGAAATATCAAAGTGAAAAAAATTCGAGAGGGGGGAGACAGACACAAAGGTAGAAAAAAGGTGAGGTGAGTGCTGTGAAAGATGTCGAATATGACATACAGCGGGGTGATGGTGGTTTGAATTGAGAAGTCAACTGCGGGTTAATAGACTTTTTTGCTGTATGAGTATACGTTGCCCAGGGTGCACCACGTGGAGGTAAGTCAATCGCACACTCCGCACTCACAATATTTAACTTGTTTGGAAGGGGGCTCCGACAAGAACCTTTTATTCAACCAACCATATTTCAGAAATGAAATCACCAGTGTGGACTGTAATTCGCATCACCAGATGTTTACCAATGACCAATAGCCAAACGGTTACGTTAATTCCATTTCAACGATGGATTTTATTGATTGGTGTCGGATTCATCGTTGTCTTTTTCTCTAACAAAGTAGTTAGGCAATCATTATTCTATCTCCAAGTAGCAGATAAACGAGATGCCTCCTTAATCAACAATCGACTAATAAAAGGCATTCTTCCAACTGGACTTCCTCAGCTTCTGTGTGTAGACGGGGTTGAACGTATGGCAGTGGATACTCGATTTCCTCAAATGAGACCTCCTTTGTGTTTAGTTTTATATCCTTTCAAAAACGCCGGATTTTCTGCACCTCAAATTTAAGTCAAGTGGGTTTGTTAAATGCTAATATTCTATTCTCGATTTGGTACCCAAAGCGCCTCATGCATTCCAACTTCAAATAAACTAACAAATTTTTGGAAATATATTATCACTTTAATTTCTGCCAAGGAAGATGCTTATTTGCACTCATTAAAATGCAGGCTTGACTTCAAATTTGTTAACATACAATTACGGCGGATGGGAGTAATTCACCACATTCCTTAACTTTTATAACTTAGACGACATTTGGCCCCTAAATGTCAGTCATCGAGTCTGGAATAGTAAATCACCATTAACTGAAAGTGAATTTTCAAATAAATAAACAACAATTTGCTCTTTAAAGTGGAGAATTGAGGAAATACAATCAACTGAAATGAGCAATTTAATAAAACTAATTCATCAATGAAGGGGTGTGCGATAGACTTGCCTCCACGTGGTGCACCTTGGGCAACGTATACTCATACGGCAAAAAAGTCTATTAACTGGCAGTTGACTTCTGACTTCAAACTACCCTCACCCCATTGTATGTCATATTCGACTACTTTCACAGTACTCATCTCACCTTTTTCCACTTTTGTGTCTGTCTCTTTTACATATTTGAAACTCTCTTCTGTTCCCCCTCTCCCTCTCGACTTGTTTCACTTTGATGTTCCTCCTCCTCTGTGAAGCCTGAAGTCAACTAAAGGGCTAATGTAATTTTCACAACGCCTGACAAATTAAGTCGAATTTGACTGATGCAATAGGGGGGTTTCCTTGTAACTCCTTTCCCTTTGACCTATGCTCAATGTAAATCTGAGTTAGAGTGAGCGCATTTATCATTGTAACGTTTTTAGGATTTCTAATGTACATCTAAGATTTAGTATAAGTGACTTATACCTCCTCATGCAATTGGAGCAATTTTATATTAATTTTGAGGGGTGTGCGATAGACTAACCTCCACGTAGTGACCTGTGGACAACGTATACTCATACGGCAAAATAATCTATTAACCGGCAGTTGACTTCTCACTTCAAACTACTCCACTGTATGTCATATTCTACCACTTTCACAGTACTCACATCACCTCTTTTCCTTACCTTTGTGTCTGTCTCTTTTACATCTGTGAATCATTACTCTGTCCCCTAATCTCAACTTTCTGCCACTTTGCTGTTCCACCTCCTCTGTGTGAAGCCCGAAGTCAGCTAAAGGGCTAATGATAACCATCAAGACGCCTGTCACTTGGAAAGAAATATTAATATTCCCTTCAACCTCTATCAATATCGCTGTGAGGATGAACTTCGTTTTATGATGGTAGGGAATCAACTCATTCAAGTTGTTTAAGCCCCATGATTTCGAAACGTTAACTACATGCAGCTAACAGAATTTTTCTGTCGAAAAAGGAAAATTTCTATTCATTTTGCTAACAAATCTGACTGCGAATGAACTCTAAATTGCTTGCATTATATATCATTGTCAAAGCGATACTCATGCTTTCTTCATTACATATATATATCCTCGATTACTGGAGGATAATTTGAGCTTAAATTCCCGTAAATAAAAGCAACTCTTAATTGAGAGCAATTAAATGCTATAATACACACACGAGGCAGCACTCGACTATCCCATACCATAAAAAGGCCAATGGAAGGTGCAGATTCAATCATTTCTGGTTTATTCTCTTCATTCATAGTCATCACCGAGGGACAAAATTGCTTTCACTGATAATCCAATTTGACAGGTGATATGATGTATGTCCCTGTGGTGCTTCAATAATGACCTTCGTGGATTTTCATGGGAAATTTTCTTTCCGCTC